TTTTAAAGCAAAATATTGTCTTGCTTGTTATTCAACCGAACATTTTTTTAAAGACTGTCTATATAACAAATGTTCATGGTGTGAAAAAAAGCATCTTGGATCATGTAAAAAAACAAAATATTGTTTTATTTGTAAAAAAAATAATCACGAATTTATACATTGTTTTTTTAAAAACAAATAAATAAAATATTTATTTATAAAATAGTACATGAAAGATTTAGTGCTAAATAATGATGTGTGGTGTAAATTAAAAGAAAAATTGTTATTAAAGTAAATATACTATGTTTTAATAAATCGGTCAAGAAATATTTTAAGTTGGTCATTTTATTTTTGAAACTTTTTCTGAGTTCTTCATTTTCTTTTTCGAGTTTTTTAACGAGTTCTTTGATTTTTTCATTTTCTTCTTCCAGTTTTTTAATTTTTTTGTTTTCTTCTTCTAATTCTTTGATTCTTTCATTTTTTTCTTTAAGCATGTTTTTGATGTTATCGACTACTAGAGGTTTATTTTGTTCTGTCATTAGATTTCGATAGTATCAAAAATATTTCCGATTTTTTCCTCTAATTTTGGATCTTCTTCTCGTCTGATTAATATTTTGTAAACGATATCTAGATAATGTTGATTTGTGATTGTAGGACTATTTATAAAAAAATCATTATTGTGTTCAATTTTTGAACTATATTTAGTAAACCATGATGGATCCGGATATTTCAAAAAGTTACTCATCAATAAACTATATAGTTGATCGAATTCTTCATCTGTTGCATCAACAACTTGTCTATATATTTTCATAATTTCTGATATACATATATTTGCATCTATATGTTCGTATGCTCCTTTCATATAGTATGGTCGTGTTTTTTTAATTATAACACCTTTAGTATTTTTAAGAGTTTTTCTGCGTTGTTTTTTTTCTCGTGATTCATCATCATTTCTTTTACGTTTGTGATTTTTCCTGAATAAATTATCAACAAAATCATCGTCTATATCTTTGATTGTTATCAAGGATATTTTTTCTTTTATTTCTTCTTTGTTTAACAAATCTTTTTTTTCATAGACTTCTACGATTTTGTTTCGAAGATTTAAGAGAATTTTTTTATTTTTATCATCTAGTAGTTCTATTCTGTGAT